CTTTTGCTTCTTCTTCTTCCTCCTCTCTGTAAGTTTTTTTTTTTTAATTTCTCTTACATCTAAAAAATCAATTTAGTTTTGTCTAAAGTTCAATTTTTTTTTTTGGTGAATTTAGGAGCAGAACGTTCTCGGCCTTTTTTTTTTTCCGTTCTATTTTTGGGGAATTTGTGGTTTTATCAATGGAGGAGAAAGGTGGAATCAGTCCAAGTGGGGTCAACACAGTTAAGGGAGACGAAACTTTGGCTCCAAGAACAGAGTTTCAACAACAAAACCCTAGCTTTCTCCAATTCGTCGCACCCACAACGGTCGTCTCCCCTCCGGTTCCGACCACCGTGACTCCTGGCTCAGACGCCGTAGCGCCACCGTCGGCGGTCTCGAGCGCAGGGTCAGATCCGACGAAGAAGAGGAGAGGAAGGCCGAGGAAATACGCTCCAGATGGGAGTTTAAACCCTAGGGCTTCGAGACCAACACTGTCTCCAACTCCAATCTCATCTTCGATTCCATTGTCTGGAGATTACCATCATTCTAATTGGAAACGAGGAAAAGCTCAGCAACATCATCAGCATCATACTCCTCCTGTTGAATTCGTCAAGAAATCTCACAAGTTTGAGTATGAAACCAGCCCAGGTAAAAAATTTGCAAACTTTTTGCATCGGTTTCAGTGAGATGGATCTGGGTTCCGTTTGATGTGATTTTTTTGTTTGAGTGATTTTATGTTTTTTTTTTGAAATGTTGGGGCAAGTGGGACCAACATAACTGGATATTGCTGGGTACACTTTTGTCTGAAGAAGCTACAAAAAACAGACCAGTTAGAGACAGAGAAAGGGAATCTGATGATGCTGACCAAACAAAACAGAAATTAAAAGGAGATTTTTTTTTTTATAAAACAAAGACAGAATCTCTGTCTATTCCTTTTTATCTTGGAAGATAAGTGTCTAATTGTGTTGTTAAGTTGTTAGTAACATACCTTAAGATTTCTCATTAGCTGGTTAAAATCTGTTTTAATTACTGTGTGGCTCTAGTGAATAAGAAGGGATTTAGATGTTCTTGGAAGTTTAGACTCGTAAGTTATTATGGTCTTAGCTTAAACTTTGTTATGAATCATCCAAGTTAAGTGCTTAAGGATTATGGTTTTATAGTTTACATGATTGTTCTGTTTTATTTTAATCTCTTGTAGCTCCTACGCCTCCTCCTGGGCTCTCTTACTATGTGGGTGCAAATTTTACAACCCATCAGTTTACTGTCAATGCCGGAGAGGTAATAATTCCCCAAAAAGGATTCATTTTTTCTTCAATGCCGTTGTAACCGAAGGTTTGATATTGGATTTTGTGTCTCTTTGTTTTGTGATCAGGATGTAACAATGAAGGTTATGCCGTATTCGCAAGGATCTCGAGCTATTTGCATTCTTTCTGCAACTGGTTCCATCTCTAATGTCACTCTTCGTCAACCTACCACTTCAGGCGGCACTCTTACATATGAGGTAACCAAATCAACATTGAATCAAATGTCGCTATTGCCCCGGAAAAATGTCGAGACGGTCTGAAATATTCCGAGTTTTTTCTTGATCCTTGATAGGTTTCTTGGCAGTTCTTGAATCAATTTTTTCTTCTTTTTGGTAGGGTCGATTTGAGATACTATCCCTTACGGGTTCCTTTATGCCTACTGAAAATGGAGGAACAAAAGGTCGCTCTGGTGGTATGAGCATTTCTTTAGCCGGACCAAATGGCAACATCATCGGTGGTGGTCTTGCCGGTATGCTCATAGCAGCCGGTCCTGTCCAGGTGATTATATATTTAAAGAAAACATATTTACAGATTCAGAGTAAAGATTAGTCAAAATTTTCCGCAGAAATTCCCTAAAAAGTCTTATAATTTGTGACAGGTGATAATGGGAAGTTTCATTGTGATGCATCAAGAACTACAAAATCAGAAGAAGAAACCTCGGATCATGGAGGCTTCTGCT